ATCCCCCGCATCCGCTCATCCGAGCAGAAGCCTTTGGAGGTGTCATAGCACTGGCAGGTAGGGGGGCAGGCTGGGGGCAGCCCCCCCACCAGCAGGGACCCCAGCCCCAGCAACATGTAGACCACCAGCCTGCACTGGAGAAGGAGCCAAGACTCACCCTATGCCTCGACAAGGCAGAAACCTGCACCCACAGGCAGGGATGCTGGGGGAGGTGTGCAGCCAGAAATGTAGCAGGATCAACCTCTGGGACACCACCAGGATGGGGAGCTGCCCTGGCTACGGGGCATCCCTCCAGCCCCAGCTGTCTGCACCACCCCAGTGCTACCCTTGCAGGAATAGGGAGCACTTCACTCCAAATCTTTCCCCAGGATTCTTACCCTGTGCCCCAGCCTGGCCTATAGCAATCAGGGTGGTGTCCCTCTTGATGAAAGTCCCCACATCATGCAGAGCAGCAGCTGAGGTGGGACCTGTGTGGGTCCACAGGGGTATTGGGGGAACCTGTAGCCTCCAGGTTCCTACATCCTACACGAGATGTCTTCAAGGGCACAAAGCCAGGCTCTGGGGCAGGGAAGCATGTAGCACAGGGCTGTGCTGCACACGCTGGGTGATAGAGACAATGCTGCAGGGCTGCTCTGCACACAGGGGCAGCAGGAACAGGCTCCGCTGGTTGTATTTCTATTTGCCCATCAGGTACTTCTTCACAAGCAACCAGAGCAGCATCAAACCTGCCCAAGGGTATTTATTCAGCCTGGCCAAACACTTGTTCTCCGCGCATGGGAAGCATTTTTTGAGACAGTGGCCTCCAGACCTCTGCCAGTCCCTCCCTTCTTGGGATACATGCCAGTGCTGCCTCGTGATGGGGATGTTGCCCACCCCACAGCAATGCCCACCCGCAGACACCCCATGTCAGTGGGGCTATCCTGGACGTGAGACTGGCACTTGAGAGCAATGCTGGGCTTGGAGTTTCCTTTCCACCATCTTGCCTGTTTTCACTAGACCCAACAGCGGCTCCCACCCGTCCCAGGCCCTCCAAACTACCCAAGCAGTGTGGCCACTACTTACCAAGTAAGGTGGCATCGTGGAGACAGCCACTGAGGCTGTGGCAGGTTTGCAGAGACGCTGCTCGCTGAGATGGGACAGTGTTTTCTGGGGCGGATGGAAAGCCAACCCATGAGCTGTTCCTGCTGGGGCGGAGCTGCCCCTCACTGCTTATCGGCAACAACAACCCGTGTCCTTGGAGCACTTCAGAAAATAACCTGGCACCAGAGGGACTGGAGGTGAGGCCAGAGGCAGCCGCCCGAGAGCATCCTGGCAAGGAAGTGGGGTCCTGGCTCCGGACATCCACTGGCCCAGGGACAGCAGGGCGCTGCTGTCACGGGTGGCTCCAGTCCCATCCTGAGGTATCATGCTCACTTCCAGAAGCCCCCTAAGAGAGCCCTGGGACTTTATTCAATCTCATTGGGAAATGGTGCTAGAAACATCTTTGCCACGAGAGGACCAGGTACAGCTTAGCAAGGCAAATGAAGGCTGAACGTGATGATCTTGGAGGTCTTTTCCAACCTTAATGACCCTATGATTCTATGGTGAGGGGACCACCCTGGAACCATCTTGGTGATGACCAAGGGTTTTGCATCCCAGCCAGTAGTGGAATGGAGAGGGAACTCTGGACCAGCTGGATTCCCTAGGAGCTTGCAACCTGCCCAGGGGAGCTGCACACACTACCAAAAGAGCTGAATTGCAAAGGCCTGTGTTGGAACAGGCTGCGGTGGCAGTGGCCGTGGAGGCACCCTCAGGTGCAGGAGGAGGGACACTTTACTGCATTCAGCTGGACTGATGGAGCAGACAGTGATACATGGAAAAACTCAGCTGACACAATCCAGTGGCAGCCAGCTCTGAGGGAACCAAGCGAGCTCCCCACTAGCCAACAGTGGACTGCACAGGAGGCAGTGCCTCCATCAGGAAGCTCACTGAGGTCTCAGCTCTCTCCAGAAGCTGTCCTGCTTGAATGGCTAAGCCCTTACCCCAGGCTGGAGTCCAGGGACCAGCAAGGGCTCTGTGAACACAGCCCACTAACACTCTCCCAGCCTCACCAGCTTCTACGGGCTTTTCCTCAACACTACAAAAATGTCTTAGGAGTGGAAATCAAGTGTAGCCCTGTCCCTACTGGGCTGTTCCCCTGCTACTCACCATGAAGGAGTAAATAAACAGCTCTTGGCACTGTGGGTGGACAACAGCACTTTAATGGAGAGGTCACACATCGGCACCCAGTGGTCTCATGGCACAGTCCCATGTCTCCTGCTACCATGCAGGACCCAGCCCAGAGGAGTGACCCATCATTTGCACAAGCGTGGAGCTGCATGTGCCAGTGCTGACTCCTGAGGTGCTGTGAGCAGCCAGCACTACGTGGTGGATACTGAGCGTGACCCTTGTCCTTCAGCAGCAATCCTTGGGCAGCCTGGCACCACTGCACTGTGTGCAGGGGTGAGCTGGGCCCCTCCATGGCTGTGCTACAGGTGGAGAAGGCAGGGTGGTCACTGGATGCAGGTGCTGTGGGGGGATGGCACAGTACCCACTGCAAGGCAGCCAGCACTTGCTGACCCCCAGCACTGTGTGCTGCCAGTATTGTCACTGCCCAAGGGCTGTGAACAGGCAGAGGGACTGGGCACATACAGAGGGGCACTCAAGGGAGGAATAAGAGGATAAAGAAGCTTTGCCAGACAGAGCAAGGCCAGGCTGCTCACTGGTGGAGGTATGGAGGATGTGAGGGCAAGGGATGGTGTGCAGCAGGAGCAGCTCCAACATGTTCCAGCAGCCCAGGGGCGTAAGCACAGCAGCCTTTCCCAGCCCCTGCAGATGCTTCATACCCATCATCCTGCTCCTCTAACTCCCCTCACAGCAGGGACAGTGCAAGCCCTCTGGCACCCCGTGGGGCTGAGGCAGTGCTCAGACAGGAGCACAGCCACAGCAGGGGCAGCACCAGCGTGTGGTGAGGGTTGGGGGGCTGCCTCTGCACCCCAGTGCCCGCACACTGCCTCACAGCTCCCCTGGCTGGAGGTGCAGGAGGGGAGCAGGAGGATGCCAAGAGCAGGGGAGGGTGCTGGCTGTGCTCTGGCCTGCCCTGCCTGCAGGCAGGGGGGGGCGGGGGGTGTGCTAGCTTGGCAGCAGCCCAGCCCCACGGGGAGCCTTGCCCAGGCACAGGCAAGTGATGGAGAAGCACAAGGACATGCAGCTCTCCAGGGGTGAAGGCACTTGCTCAGCTCCTGGCCCAGCATGATGGCTCACACTGCCTGCCCAGGCAGGGGCAGTGGGGAAGGCACAGCATGGGCAGAAAGTGAGGAGGAGAGGCTGAGTGGAGATGGGGGCAGCAGGCAGCACTGCAGGGGATGATGCAAGGTGAAGGATGGGGAAGACCTGTTATTTGGGGTAAGCACCATCATGGCCAGGCTGTGGCTCCTGGCTCGAGAGGTCCCTCTCAGCACCCCCTAAAACCAGCCCCTGGGCCCTGGGAATGAACACGGAGGCTGTAATGGAGGCAGGAGGGGCTGGGGATAGAGGACAGTCATGGGAAGTGACCCGGGGGGATGGCCTGCTGCAGAGCAGGGGCAGGGCAAAGCAGAGCAGGACAGGGGTATGCACAGCACACAGGGTGATGCTGCCCCATTCCAGTCAGCAAGGGCAGCTGATGTAGAGCCACTGTCAAGTCCCTTGGCCCCACAGAGAGGGGATGCCCCATGAGCACCTCTCCCCTCAGGGTCTGCCAGGCACTCAGGCTTCGTTTGGTGCCTTCATCCTCATGAGCACAACATGGCTCTTCTTCCTACAGCCATAGACCACCAGTGCCACCAGAGCAGCAAGCAGGGCTATACCCACCAGCACAATGACTGCCACCACCACCGCACTCTGCGTGCGTGTCAGCCCCCACTGCCCCCTCTCCTCCTCCTCCTCCTCCTCCCTCTTCTCCTCCTCCTCCTGGGGGGGCACTGGAAGCTCCGTGGGGGACTCTGTCCAGCCACCCCCTGGCAATGCTGTCTCAGAGCTGTGAACGGGGAGCAGGGGGCTGGGACAGTGGGGGTCTGGGGGTCGCGGAACTGGTCCCGCGGCAGACTGGCAATGGGAGTGCCCTGCAGGGCAGGAGGCTGAGCACACAGGGGAGGTGTCTCGCCCACCTTGTGGGGGTTTTTCTCCAGCCAGTCCTGCAGGGGCAGAATGCCCTTGTCACAGTGCCAGGAGTTGTTGTGCAGCCTCACCTCTTGCAGGGTAGTCAGGGGGGAGAAGATGCCGGCGGGCAGGGACTCCCAGGCACTGAAGTGCA